TGATGATTTCTTGTTTCTTGGATTTTACAGTCTATACAACAGCTCTTCATGAAAAAAGAATTCAATGATCGTTGTGATGTCAAATGCAATTGTTGGCGCCATCGATTGGAGGATGTCAAAATCTTACATAGAAGTATAAAAGGAAGCATTAAAGAGGACAAAATTATGAACATTTCAAATTTTATGTTTTCATCTCTTGGTCAACAAGATAAAATCTGGTTTGTTTTGATTTGGCGTTAAATTCTTATGGCTTGCACGTAGCTCTACTTCTCTAGTCAAGGTGATATTTGTTGGTGAAACTTATTTGTGTTCTCATGTTAATATTTGCCTAGTCGTTAGTGATTTTCATGAAGTGCTATCTTTAATTTTTGGCTTCACCTATCTTGTTTGCGTCTAAGTTATTGCGAGCAAAAACCATAATTATTGTGACCTTTTCTCGCTCTTATATGATTTATCTATAAGGTTATCTACGACAAAAAACAAATTTTTTTACGAAGAAGTACATTTGATATAATTGAATAATGCTTCAATCAAATAAAAAACAAAAAACAAATTTTTTTGACAATGAAGTACATTTGATATAATTGAATAATGCTTCAATCAAATACAAGACAAATTGAATTATCGAGCAAATAAATTGACCAAAACCAAAGCTGTTATCATCCATTTTTACTTTTTTTTTTATCCATCTACAGTCCTCGAAAGCAAAGTGGTAAGGCATGTCTTCGATGTGTACACGAATCCTGAGCTTATTCGAGCTGAAGGTTAGCCATCTAGCAACAATCAAAAGGAAGCCTTGTTATGTTCAGAACAGAAAGGTGTTTCCTTGAAATGTTTTCTATACACCAAGCTTTCTGAACAACCAAATCTTTCGTTCGTCAACATCCATTGCAACAAAAGTCTCGGCTTTCTCCACATCTTCCAACGCTCCACAGGCATCCCTAAACACGACATCGTTCATTCCTGGTATTTCTTGCAGAGCATCAACGATTGCCTCAAATCGAAGTGAGCTGTTTTGCATCGTCCTCGACTCTGTGGGACTTCTTCCTGTGCAAGTCCGGTGATGGTGCAGCAGATTTTCTTCGCCTCTTTCTACGATCAGAGATTTCGTGTTCTCCATTCGCATATGCTGAACCTTCAGCGCCACCCTTGATCTCAGTGTCTAGGGTATTATGAGCATAAATCAAGCATAGAGCATTGTAGCTTGGCAAAGTGTCTTTGTATTTGATTGCAGATTTGATGGTCCTGAAAGGAGACGAAAGTTCTGAATCAAAATTCGAACGTACAACTACTATGTCCTTTCAGAAAGAGTGAGCGACAAAGTTTTAAAGAAGAAGAAGACAAAGTTTTAAAGAAGAAGAATGTCATCCTCGTCACCTGCAGGTTCAGGAGGAAGAGCTTTGTAACAGTACTTCTAGCAAGTGATTATGTTATCTAGATGTCAGATAGAAAGAACATACCATAATCATATCAAAAAATATAGTCATTGGCAGTCACCGAGTCATCTAAATTGGCATCCATCCACAATGGATTGGATCTCCAAATATCAAGAACAAGTTATTGAAGTTTGGCAAAGCTTTAGAGTAGTATGATTGTGCATCTCGGTATTGCTGCATAAAGTCAAATGGTGTATAAGATTGTTGTAATAGATAACTGTTTTTTTGTCAGAAAATCAAAATATCCAAAAAGGGCACCTGAAGACAAGCAGTCCACAGACAGTCATCGGCTCTTATCCTTTGTTGCATTTCGTCCCAGGAGAACCCACTCTGACCAAGTAGCAGTTTTATATCATTGAATTGCTTCCTCAGATATACCAACCGACTTTTCAAGACATCTTTGTCATGACAACGACCAAACTCCACATTGAATTTCTCGACCATGTCCTTCCATGCTAGATTATTAAGATTCTAACAGGACATACTTCCGTGTTGAACGTGCACCAACATCGTATCGATAAAAAACTCGATCCATATCAGGAGTCCAATCAATAGTGCGGGTACCACCATCCAGTCTGGTTTCTAGGAAAAATTCCGTTAGAAAGAATGGTGAGGAGAAATACAATCAAGATAATGCCACACAATATCTCTGCTAGTGCAACAGAGGATTCAAGTGAGCCCCCAAAAAGGTAACAAGTTTGACATTGCTGAACTTGTAACCTAATGATTCTCGGTTAATACAATTGACTTTGAGAGGTTGGCCCTCTCCGTGGATTAGTCTCAACAATACGTTGAGGATACCGATTTACGTTGAGAAGGATTACAACACAGAACACACCGATTTACGTGGTATCCTCAATGTATTGTTGAGACTAATCCACGGAGAGGGCCAACCTCTCAGAGTCAATTGTATTAACCGAGAATCCTTAGGTTACAAGTTCAGCCAATATCACATATATATACTGACCGAATAACCCTAACTCGATGATCACAATGTAATTAACCAATACTTCTAACACAAGGATTAAAGACTAATTACAATTAACACCCAACACTTCTAACAATCCATTGCCCACATCTGAAACCTAAGTGCCATAAATCAAGTGCAATAGTCTGGCTTAGGTTTAGACCAACATGCATCAACATCTGGGTTTCCCTATAGAGACCTCCTACCATGCCTTGAAGTTACTATAACTTGACCTTTTTGACCTTCTATTGCAGGTTTTATAGGTCGCATTATGTAAAACTAATGTTTATTACGTTACAATTACGTAATGCTTGTTAGTCTTACGACAGTTAAACTAGAAACGTTAAGGAAAGTTTCCGTAACGACTTATCATTTTATGTAACACTAGCTTAATATTCATTACGTAAAAGCATAGTCTATTACATAATGCTTCCGTAATGACATTTTACAACTGTTACATAAAATACACGCTCATTACGCAAAGGTTACGTTACGAAGGTTATTTCTTACGTAACAATTAAATTAGAAGTGTTACGTAAGACTTACCACATTACGTAACTTGATTAATATTCATTACGCAAAAGGACCATCCATTACGTAAAACTTCTGTAATACCAGTTTACAACTTTTACGTAAAGTATGCATCTATTATGTAAAGGTTACGTAACGATAGTTATTTCTTACGTAACAATTAAATTAGAAGCGTTACGCAAGTCTTCCGTAATGATTTAACAAATTACGTAACGAAAGATTAATATTCATTACGTAAAATGAGTGTCTATTACGTAAGGTTTTCGTAATTACATTTTTCAACTATTACGTAAGATAAACACACATTACGTAACCATTATGTAATGGTTATTGTATTTTACGTAAAGCGACTTGTTAAACCTGTTATAGCAGGTCAAAAACATCAAGTTACAATAACTTCAAAGTATTGTAGGAATTTCCTTCCCTATATTATAAAAAATGTTAGCCATTTTTTATGAGTACAACCGAGGGACAGGATATGGTGACAACCCTTTAAGGGGGTTGTCAGATTCACAACTCACTTCATAGCCCTTGGATACTCTCTCTCTCCTGTTTTTTTTTTAAATTAACTGTTAAGATTAAAGGAAGGGTATTTTTGGAAGGGTAAAAATTTACCACACCCAATCATTCACCCTACCATATAAAAAGAAAAAAATCCTAACTCCTCCATCCTCCCTCTCTCTCTCCTCCCTCTCTCCCGTAGCCATCACCGTCTCTCCTCCCTCTCTCTCGCAGAGCCCTCCACCGGCGCCGTCGGCGCCCCTGTCTCCTGCAGCCGCCTGTCGAGCCTTCCACCGTCGTCGTCTCCGCCATCCTCAGCCTCCCTCCACACCCTGTTGTTGCAAATCCCTCCCACCGGCCCGTCGAAACGTCCGCCTCCCACCACCGGGGCACAATCATCCTCTCCCCGTCGGAGCCCTCTCGCCGCCCTTCGTCCCCCACCACTGCCACCGTCGCAAGGTCACCCTCTTCCCCTACCTCTCTCTCTCGTCACCGACTCTCCTTTTCTAGATCTGGTTTTTTAGTGGTACCATTTTCCTTCTGGTAGCGTACCAGTGATAGTGGTACCTACCACTACCATAAGGTAGCTGGTAGTGGTAGCTGGTAGTGGTAGCGTACCACTATCATCTGGTACCACTATCATCTGTTTTTTTGTGTTATTCTCTACTGGTACCGCTACCAATGCTAGTGGTAGCGCTACTAGTGCTAGTGGTACGATACAATATGGTAGTGGTAGCGCTGTACTGGTAGCGTACCACTAGTACTGGTACATTTTTTAACGCACTGATAGCGTACCACTAGCACTGGTATATTAATTACCAGTAGACTAATGGATTGGTACACTTTTTAACGCACTTGTACATTTTTTCACGTTGCTGGAGGGAGTCTGCAGGAGAGAATTCGCCGGAGAAAAAGTCTGTCCGTCAATGCGGAGTGGCCGGTGGAGAAAGGAAGAGAGAGAGATAGATAGAGATATTAATGTATTGGATTTAAATTTTTAAAAAAATTGTATTTAATATGAGTTTTTAATTCCCAATATAATTAATAAAAAAGGTAATTAATATATTACTTTTTTCATACCCAAAATACTTTTGGTTATGAATCTGACAACCCCCTTAGGGGTTGTCACCGTATCCCGTCCCTACAACCGATAGTCGAATTTCCTTCCCTATATTATAAAAAATGTTAGCCCTTTTTTTATGAGTACAACCGAGAGTTAAATAAGGTCAAAATGAAAATTACCATTTACATGACTAATCCCTCCTGCGGACTCCGGGCTGCAAATGAGCCACATGTTGAGACATATTATGAGCTCTAAACAAGCCAACTCACGAGTTTAGCTCAAAAAGTTACCAAGTCGAGCTAGCTCGCGAGCTTCAAGAGTTAAACAAAGCTAAGCTCATATTTAACTCGTTTAATAACAAGCCAAATTTCGAGCAAGCTTTTCTCGAGTCTGAACACCGAATAGCTCGACTCATATGCTGCCCTACGGACGCAAGATGTATGTCAACTTAACGAAACTATAAAATGGCCCGGCCCATTCACAACCAGCAATGTGCGCACTTCCTCTAACGTGCGCACTAACGGAAAACGAAGTAAGTAACCCGCAAAACCAGAGCATCGGGAAGAGAGAGAGAGAGACGGGGAGGCCGACAGAGAAAACAGAGCAGCGCGAGGAGAGAGCCATGGAAAATGGCGATCGACGATGACGAAGACGGACAACGGCGAGGAAGAAGGATTCGAGGAATTCATTACCTTCGAGCATCCTCCTCCGTCGCCGAATCCGGAAACCGTCATCTCCGAGTTCCTCGGCACGGCCGCCATGGCTTCCAATTTCGACGACGATGACTGGGGTGATTTTGTCAATTCCTCCGGAGGCGTATTATCACAAACGACGTCGCTCCCGCAGGTTCTCAACCATTCTGACCTGTTCGGAATCTATAACGACGGCAAGCGTGACGATGATGCGCCGCCGAAACAGACGGAGGATCAGCCTGGGTCAGCTCCTGGTCTGATGAAGTCTTCGGGAGCTCTGCCTCTTTCGCTGTTTGGAGAAATGGAGGAGGACGGAGGAGGAGCAGGAGAACAGAAAGGGAGTTCGGTTGCCGATTTCCCCCCGGGCGAGAATGCGGAGTCCGTGAAGAAGACGGGTAATCTAGATGTTAACGATTTGATTGCTAATTTATACAAGCCGAACGGGATCGGAGCAGGCTCTGTCCCGGCAAGTAATGGAAATTTAGTCGGGGCGAATCCGATTGGATTGGATCCGAGTTGGAGCTGGGGGAATGCGTCTGCTATGGGGAATGGGGCGAGTTCGATTCCGAAGCTAGCGAGCACGGACTCGGATCCGTTAAATTTGAATTCAAATGGGTGGAGAATGAGCGGCAATTCTGGTTCGGTTGTGCAAGGGTCGGATTTGAGCTCAGATGCGATGAGCAATGGTTCCAATGCGGCGAATGGGAATGGAGGGTTTGATGAGGAAGGTGATGATGATGATGGTTGGGAATTCAAGGCCGCTGAATCCAAAGTGGAAGATAATGTCAAGGTGACTTGAATATCTCCCGAGTTGTTTTATTCTGAACGGTGATACCTTTTTGGCGTGTCTAGGTTGCAGTTCTCATTCTATATAGGTTAAGAGTACTGATAGTTTCAGGGTATTGGTTTCATCGTTTGTCTTCTGTAGAAAAGAAATACTTGCTACTTCGCCTTATCTTCCATGTCTTTTGATGGTGTATGTTTCTGTGAATCGATGACAGCCAGAGCAGATGAAGAATCAGAATGGGACGACTTTTCATCGCAGTGAGCTGAACTCTAGTTGGAATGAGGTCACTTTGGACTTTTCGGGATGGAATACGAGTGCCAATGGAGTTGATCAGAATGGCTTGAATAATGGCCCAGTTACTGAAAGGAAAGAGCTTGCTAGCAATGGTGCTTGGGAGTTTGTTGTTGCAGGTGCCCCAGACGAGAAAATCAAGGTAGATTGGGTTTTTATTTTGTTTTACTTGATACTTTCTTTTCCGGAGGATCCCAGCTAGCTTGGGTCTTGGAGATGAATGTATATATGGACTTGTTTCAGAAACTATGATTTGTTGCACTAGTCCTTCCCTTTCAATTTTTCTATTTGGCATTGGATGGAAATTAGAATTCTTATGTTCTTTGAATAAAGGGTTTATATTAGTTGTTTTGTGGGAAATTTCAGAATGTTGATTCAATATCAGAGGATGTCTCGAAGATGAATCTTAAGAGCTCTAATTTAAGTTGGGATCCACTGCAGCGTCCAGATTCTAATGGCTTGGCTTCAAGCATAGGTGGAGTGAACGCTGATGTGATAAGTGTGAATCCTGTATTATTGGATGAAATTGATGGGTTTGCTGATTCGGATGGTTGGGCCTTCAAGAAAGCAGAATTAGACTTGCAAGTAAGATAGATATGCTAGTTAAATGTGCGACTCTAATTGATGATGTTTCTATCTGTCCGTCAAGGAAATTTGGTAACCTTGATTTATTAACATCTTAACTAAATGTAGTATAACAGTAGAAGCAAAATGTCTGTTTACCTGAATCCTTATTAAAAAGAAGTGTCTTGTTCTGCAAGAACTCTTGTAGGTGCTCCTCATTGAAGTAGTTGATTGCTAGCTGTAAAATAATAGACGTTAGCATCGCAAGTTAATAATTGTTTTGCTATTTGATTTCCTGCCTTTCTTATTATAGTGTATCCCGATTAAACTGCAAGAAATGTAAAGGTTTCTCATTTTGTAATACAATTGCTACTCAATTTGTTCAGGATGCGGCAGGGAAGATGGAAAATGGCCCACAAATGCAATCTACTATATTTGATTCAAGTCTGAATATTTCCGACTTGGATGGTGGTGGTGGTGTGAATCCAAACCTGTTTGCTACCGACTGGAATGCGAAAGAAGAGATTTCAGATACAAAACAGTTGAACCCAATTGTAGTCACTGAAACCGAGGATCTTGAGGGTGAGGACGACTGGGAATTCAAGGTTGCAGAATCAGAATCAATGTCCATTGATTCGAGTAGTAAGGTAAAACAAAAGCTGTAGTTGATCTCTTCTTGTTTTTTTTTTTTTTTTTTTTTTTTTGGAGTGAGATCTCTTCTTGTTTGACATGCTACATTTGTTTTATCTTCTTCTTGATAATTGTGAAGCAGAAAAGTATTAACTGATTCCAGCTTGCCTTTTTGGCTAGTACTAGGATATGGTGGTTGCAGATATTCCTTGTTGCTTGATAGCTTAACAGGCTGTTGTCACAGGGAAGGGACTATATGCAGAAGCTGTCTCCCTTTCCCTGTTTTTGGGCTTGTCTGAACTTGTTTGGGATTGTACTTTCTTTTGTTTAATAATTGAATAATATATGTCATCATTAAAAAAAATGATCTCTTCTTTCTGGTGACATCGTTCCCTTTTTGGCACAGGCTATTGAAATAAGGCATAGCGACAGCCAAGGAGCCCTGCCTCTGTCACTTTTTGGCGATGAAGAAACTGAGCCCAACGATCCCGTCTTCTATGAAGTCACTTCAGTTCAGATTTCTGCTCCAGAAACAAGAGAGGAAAATAAGGGTTTTAGTTCCGGTCTCTCTATTCATGATCTAATATCAAGTTTATACAGTGAAGTTGAGCAAACAGCTACGGTCGGTCACTTACAAGATCAGGATGAAAATGGATGGGGCCCCACAGGGTTTGCATTGGCTTCCAATTCATCAAATGATGCTGCAAGTTTGGATGATGATGATGCCTGGGAGTTCAAAGATGCCTCTCCAGTACCCATGGCCGAGGAGCAAATATCTTTTCCCAAAGATCCTCCAATTAAGGCCAGTAACATAGAGCTTTCTGATTGGATAGACTTATTTACCAAACTGAAGGAAGAATTATGTCTGGTTGCATTCCAACATCTTGAAAATATGAAGGTTGGTTGACTTGCTAAACGTATCCCAATTCCCAACACCATTCCCTCGAAAAAGTTGAACTCTTTTCTTTTGAAGGATTACTTACAAGTGGCTGGATTTTGAATTTTTATTAGCAAGCTCGTGGTGCTGCAGCTCTTGCTGGTGAGGATGCTGATTTAAGTAACATGGATAAGGAAATACAGGTTGGTGGCATCTCTATTTCAGTGAAAGCTTAAATAGCGATGAATTGGTGAGAGATTGCTGCGATTTGGGAGCATATGTTATCATGCTCTTAAAAATTTCTTCCTTTGCCGTTTCTCTTCCACCTTCATCCATGTCCTTTCATTTCTCCCGCATTGGGTGGATATGCAACACAATACGAGAGTGACTTTTGTGTGTTTTCTTCTGTCTGCTATTGTAGGATATGCATAATGGACTGCTCGAATACGGCACTGTTCCCGAAGTTCATTCAGGAGATCAGTTTCTATGTGAAATACGAACCCGTGAATTGTTTGAACTGTTGCTGCACCCAAAGTTTCAAGTCATTGAGTCAGAATATCAGTTATCAGAAAAACTGTTGAAGGTAAGTCACAATACTTGTTCTTTTTCTTTGAAAGAACAATTGATGTTAGAGTTAGGGTTTGAACATACTTATCCTTGGTAAGCAATAAGTTTGCTATCACATGTAAACAATATGGTAAAGCTCAACCTGGTTACATAGCAAGTGACAGTCTCTTACTTTTGTTTCTAGAAGTTTGAAGATCCCTTTTTCCAGTTAGGTTTGGTTAGATTGTTTTGACTAGTCTAAACTATTATTTCATTTTGTTGATAGGTTCAGAGCGACTCAAATTCTACACTCCTACTTCTCAAGAAGGTGGTTTCAGTGATGAATATTTTGACCTTATTATCTAGAGGGGAACAAACTAGTTACGTTTCCACATGGTCTAAGATGCTCTATCAATGTGCCGAAGAGCTGAAACACGGGTCAATGATTTGGAGCCACTTGCTGCAAGAAAACATCCAAGGTCAAGTTCTCTCAAGCGTTGAAGGTATAATAACAAGAATCTTGTGAGAAATTGAATTCAATGATAGTTGTGAGTGCTCAAAATTCATTTATCAAATACAGGAAAGAGATATTTCCTTGCTCTTGGAGAAATTTACAGAGTTTCTGAAGTTCTTCGATGCACTGCCCGGCTTTATAAGCCGTGGATATTGCTGGAACGGACTGACTCCATATCCTTCTATTCCATCATGAACGAGTGTTCTGCTCTATGGTCAAGCTCAGGACTGGAAGAAGCTCTCTTAAGCATTTCTGATGGTTCCGTGAAGGCATTACTGGAATCTGTTCAATATCTTCATAATCTCGAGGATGATACACTTTACGAGATTGTGTTCTCCGGACAAGGCTACACCTGTCAACTCTCAGGTCTTAATCCAGGAGTAGTGCCAGGTAAGCATGATTTCGTGTATATTCTAAGATTAAGCTACTAAAGATTAAAGTTGGAGACTCCTCCAATCATTTGAGTTTCGAAGCTGACATTGCTATTCTGTTCTTACATGCCTTTGCCGCGGTCTGTTTAACCATTTTGTTGTCTCTCAACAGGGATGGAAACCATCGTCTGGAACGGGAGCCATTACTTTGTCAAGCTTGCTAACTTATGGGCTAATTTGATAAGTTGCGATCCGCCAAATCTGCCTCGCTTGCACGTCGGATAATGATGACCATTGCAGAGATTTAGCGCAGACGTGCAGAGTGATGATTATTCTTTAGCAGAGACTACCCACTGAAAGCAGTCATGGCGCCGTGGGTGAGGGCTCGAGCCGCGGTTACCCCCCTGCCTGCAACGATTGGTCTTCGAGGAAGTCAAAGAAAGAAAGAACAGAGTATTCTCAATCCAAGCTTGCCGTGTGTTGCATATCGCCATATGGATCTCGTTTGAGAAAAGTCAGGCAAGATATCTCTGAAGCCTCCCATTCACAATTTTCCCCCGCCCCTTTTAAGTGTTGTCCATTCTTTGCACAGAGCGCAAGCTGTAACATAGAAGCTTTTGGGTTTATAGCCCCCAATTTGCACATGCACAAGACCTTTGGGGGAGGGGTTGTTTGCCCTTGGGATTTAAGGGTGTATTCCTTTTCCTATTTCCATGTTGTATTGTTTAAAAAAAAATGGGCCTGTAATATTTGGAATAAAAATATCTCGATATTGTTGCTTTTGAAATGAAGAAATTACTACAAGTTTGATTTCTTCCTTTCATTTTATTTTTTCGCCGAATCAGTTGATCTTTATTATTAGCAAGGAAGAATTGTAAAACAAAGTCTCGTGAGAAAGACTTAAAGGGTCGTTTGGATGGTCAATCTAGAAATGAGTCAACTTGATCAATTGTCTCGTTTTATAAACGAGACAATTAAAACGAGTTAATTCGAATTACCTGTCATCCCAGGTAATTGAAATTGACTTGAAACGGGTCAATTCAAAATATTTCAGGCAAATTGATCCATCAAAATTTTTTGCTGGCAAACGAGGCAATTTGGTACAATTGTCTCAAAATGAGACAATTGTGTCAAATTGATCCGTTACAATTCCTCATCCAAACGACCTCTTACTACAACTACCAACTTTTAAACTACGGGATCTGACTGAATATGTAGGAGGTTGTTTGGACTTTGGAAGGTGGGATTAATACATGTAATAAGTAGAATTTGTTAATTTGTTTTTCGTCTTAAAATGAAATGGAATACATGTATTTGAGCAAAAAATGGAATCACCATTATGATTGTCAATCTCGGTTATTAGATGAGATTATCGATCACTCATTTCCCCCCTAATTTTTTGAGGGACCATGAAAATCATTCGTTCATCACTCGTGCTCTTCCCTTCTCTTTCTCGAGTTGTAGAGTTGTAGGTTTAGATGATTTATATGGGTGCACTTTCTCACCAATATTAAGTTTAATGGTTGAGCAGGGTTCATGTTCCGCTGCCTTTGACTCTTTAATGTTAAAAGGGGACTAGTTAGTATAACAATACTCCTTTTATTGTTAGGTTAACAACACTAGTCTCCAATCAATAGGGAGCGAGGGTTGTAATAATTTATTATTAGTTAGGTTTACCTGTATAAAATCAAAGCAAAGGTAGAATTGTCATTATAAATATTATGTTTAAACAATAATAAAAAAAAATTAATAATTATAAATAAATAATTATAAAATATTTTTTTTATTTTTTGCCCAGTGTCGCCGGAATATGCTCAGCGTCGTCAGAATATGCTTAGCGTTGTCAGAATATGTTCACCGCCGTCGAAATCCGGTCACCATTATCAGAATATGCTTACTGGCGTCAATATCTCGTCATCCAGGCCAGAATATGCCTATCGGCGTCAGAATCCGGTCACCGAAGGTCATCGGAGTTGGTCAACGGTCTTTGTTGACCGGTCAATGATCAACGACCACCAGATATTATGGTCTGAATTTTAGGGTTGGGAAAATAGACCAGACCGTTAGAAAAACCGTGGTCCAAACCGTACCGCACAGTTTGGTCAGGACCGTAGACCGTGAAGTATGGTCTGGTCTGGTTCATGGTCTGTATTATTTTATGATTTGATCTCTTGGTCTGGTCTGATCGAGACCGCGGTTTACCGGACCAAACCGTGGACCCAACTGACTTGTCAATACGTGTTAACAGCCCATTCGATCACTCTCCAAACTCCCACAACGACACCCAAGTCTCAACCTTAATTTTGTGAATCTCTTCCCTCCTTCATTCACAACCACATTTAACCAGAGAGTAGAGATAATAGTGTCTCCATATGACATTATGTTAATGTTGACGTTATGGTGCAAGCTGGGATGTTTTTACTTTGTATCTTTGTTATGTACTAAGATTTAGAGTATCAAAATTATTCATGCATGTTAAGATCAATGTTTTAAGGCAAATAACAATTATTTTTCTTGGTTATTGGTTCAATTTTTTGTGTGGTTGACTAAACAAATTATTCATTTTTCGTTGAGTGTGGTCTATCTGGACCAGACCAGACCGAACCAGACCGCACAGGCGTGGTCTGGACCGGACCGTATAGTCTGTGGTCTGGTCTGTGGTCTATACTTTAGCCTCTCGGCCTGGACCATAGACCGTATATATGGTCTGGTCTGGACCAGACCGCACCGTTTCCCAGCCCTACTGAATTTTGAGATTAATGGTTTGGTTTTCTCATATTTTTTGTATGCTTTTTGTAGTCAGTTTTATAGTGTTTGTGGTTTGCATTAAAAAGTTTCTGATGTGCTTTTGGAAATTTTGTGGTTTTCTTAGTGAGGTTTGTGGTTTGTTTTAACAGATTTGTGGTATGCATTAGGAATTTAGGATGTTTTTTGTTGTTTGCTTTACCATGTTTGTGGTTTGCATTATGAGATTTTTTATGTGCTTTTGAAAATTTTGTGGTTTGCTTGATGTGGTTTCTCATATGTTTTAGAGGAATTGTGGTCTGCATTAGGAGGTTTCAGGTTTGCTTTTTGTGGATTGTTTTTTCATGGTTGTGGTCTGCATTAAGGTGTTCCTAGTGTTTTTAGAAATATTTGTGATTTGTTTTATGGTGTTTCTCATTCTCTTCAGGATGTTAATGGTATGTTTTGTGGTGTTTCATATACATGTTCACCGAACGCTTCAGGATGTTAATGGTATGTTTTGTGGTGTTTCATATACATGTTCACCGGACGAGGCACTCTCAACATTGAACCACGTAAAAGAAATGTTCGTTCACATATTACAAACAGTAAAAATATTTCAGGCAGTAAACAAGTTATGCCTCAACAATATACCAAAGCACTGAGAGGAGGAACAGACCCACAGAGATCTTAATTTTCACCATTCTAATTCGAAACCTTGGAACACAATGGTAACAGTTATACTCCCTGCAAATCGATTCAAAAATCACAAAAGTAACCCAATTTATTCCTTCCTTCTCCTTCTCACCATTTTATGGAGAAAGAAACGAATCACTAATGAAGAGAGGGGACGCGCCGCGTCGGGGGTTCAAAGCAGAGCCACCATCCTATAAATGTTGAAGAAGATGACAGTGTTCTAATCCTAATCAGAGCAGGATTACAAAAGAAGAAGAAGGAACAGAAACGTTTTATAGCAGAGACGTTTCACAAGCTGTCTCTTATATGGTGCTGCGACACCGTTTCAGTTAGAGATAGGTTAGCCATTATAATTACTGTTTAACTTTAAACTTGACCATTGAGAATGTAACACATGGCAATCAACTGTAATCCTGATTACAAAGCCGAATACAAAAGCAGAGCAGCCACTTGCTCTCTGCATATTCTCGGCTACCCTAATTCTAGAAACTTGTCATGGTATCAGAGCGGCCTCCGTCCTAGGCCGACTTCCGCAACACGATGGCCGCGCAATCTGGGTCACCGCAGACCGGTGATTCGCAGAGTGCTAGCGGAAACAACAATAACGCTGCAGGGTTTCAATTCGGTTCCATCGGTGCATATCAGACAGGGAACAGTGGAATCATCACCTTCGGTAACCCTCTCTACTTGAACCCGAATGAAAGTTTCACCCAACCCATCGTTTCTGAATCACTCGATGGAAGTAATTACTCAATGTGGAGTAGATCTATAAAGAAAGCTTTGAAAATGAAGAACAAGCTGTATTTCATTGACGGGTCCTTGGCGATTCCAGCCAGAAACGATCCAACCTATTTTATGTGGGATAGTTGCAACATTGTAGTTGTAACTTGGATTTTGAACTCATTACAGAAAGACATCAAACGATCTGTTACGAGTCATGAAAATACCAAACCCTTATGGAATGAGCTTCATCGAAGGTTTGGTCAGCTAAATGCCAATAGGTTGACAAACTTAGAGGATGAAATTCATCGATGTAAGCAAGGAACTATGTCTATTACACAGTACTACACTCTGATTAAGGGATTATGAATTTATGGGATGAGTATACAGAATATAGTCCTATTGTGGAATGTAACTGCATCCCAGGAAACCCAAATCCATGTACTGCTGTAACTGCCTACAACAGGAAACATGAGACTGATTATCTAATCAGATTTCTGAGAGGACTTAATCCAGACTATGAGGGAGTGAAGAAACAGCTCTTAATGTTAAAGCCATTACCTACAGTGGCTGATGCAGTGGATGACCTTCTACCGCATGAACAAGAATTGAAGGCAAATGGTTCAGGAGGTGGGAAGAAGTCACAAACTGTGGCCCTTGCATTTCAGGGAGACAATGCCAAGACCACAGAGGCTAATGAGAAGGGTCAGGGCAAGAAATTCTGCAAGTTCTGTAAGAAAACAAATCACAACATAGAAGAATGTTGGACTTACAAGAGGAAGAGTAGAGAGCAAGAGCAGGCTGGTGGTTCTCAAAGTGGCTCACACAAGTTTATTGGTTCAGTATCTCAAGCAAATTCGAGTGGTAGTGAGTCTTCATCAGAGGTAAGCTTTTCACAATGAAAGCAACATGGTAAGTGCTCCTTCACTGAATTTCACCCCAGAAGAGTTGAACAAGTTGAGATACTTGCTGAATTGTGGTGCTAACAATCCAGCCCCTCCTAATCCTACCACCTCACCATCACCTCCAACCTCACCTTCTATCCAACACCAAGCATACTCAGTTTCACTGATGACTCGGTATTTGCACATGTTTTCCCCTTTGTTTCTTGATTGTTTGAGCTTGAATTATCGTGTCTTTGGCCTATTTTATGCTAGGTTGTGTTCCTTTGTCACATTTCAGGTCCTAGCACATAAATTGAAGCATAGGCGCAAGTTTCAAGTCAATCAGAGATCAATTGACGATTCGGGAGAAGAAACTCCGGTATGACCTGAAGAAGAATGGATTTATACCTTACTTTATGGACAAAGAATCATGCAAGCTTGTCATGAAAAGAAATAGGACGATAATACGAGCGTCTGGGATCAAACGGCGACTGATTCGGAGTCCGGACGAGGGAGAAACGAAGCATTAAACAGAGGCTGAGCAAGCCACACGGGCACAACTCACACGGCCGTGTGGCCTGGCCGTGTGAGTCGGGAATTGATGGTTAAAACCCGATTTTCAGCAAAAGGAAAGGGGGAGAGCTGGGTTTTGGATCCCAAACACCCAAGGGACGAACCCTAGAGAGAGAGAGCGACTAGGGAACGTTCTTGGAGCTATTTTGGAGGATTTCTTCGCCATTGGAGCTCGGGAATCAAGCTTGGAGATGGAGATTGAAGATCTAGATCAGATTTCTGCAGTCTCTCTCTTCTCTATG